TTCAATTTTCATACAACTCCAATCACACTCCGCAGGAAGGAACTTTTAACTTTAACTTTATTTTTATTGACCCAATCTTTATGACCAGTTTTTATAACAACACTTCATTCATTTTGGCCACACAAACAAAATAAACAAAATAAACAAAATTCAACTGGCAACATAAACAAAATAACCTTTGTACACAAATTCATCACAATTAAATTCTTCATGCATTTATTCATTCACTCATTCCTTTACAATGTGTTCACAAGTTCATTACAAAAAAAAAAAAAAAAAAACCAACAACAACAAAAAACAAACACCATCTGAAGTTCTCCTTGGCTACTCTTCCTCGCTAGACGACAGATCTTCTTCTTCAACGCCTTCGTCTAGGGGGGTCTGGGCCACATCATCTTCACCTATCGTTACACTACTAAGGTCCAAGTGTGGGAACAGCTCTTCAGCTCTGCGCTTGAACATTTTCCAACCGCTGTCCCAGAACTCGGCCATTTCGTGCTTATAGAAGTCTGACTGCTGGAAGCTTTCAATCACCTCTGCCTTTGTCCTACCTCCAGCAGTCTTCATGGATGGGCCCACCCCCCCAGACTCTTGCCCAGCCAGACTCCTGGCGACAGCGGCATCTACCACCATCTGAAATTCGGGGGACCCTTTATATTGCTCCACTGCTGCGACGCATAGATCAGGGTAGGCCACCCTCTCAGACGCCGCCTTCGCCCTCTCCTCGTCCAGCTCTCTTTGTAGGGCCCCCCTCTCAGCAGCCGTCGTCGCCCTCTCCTCTTCCACCCCCTTCTTCAGGCTCTCCAGCACCGCCACCGCCTTCGCCTTCTCTGTTTCCCACTCCCTCAGAAGCCTCCCCTTCTCCTCTTCTGCTCTGGCACGCTCCTCCCCCAACTCCTTCAACAGATCTCCAATTCTGGAATCTGCTTCATCCTTCTGCCTGACCAGCTCTTCATTGCTGCCCATGGCCTCTTCGTGCCGCTCGACCGCAACGGCGCAGGCCCTTTCAGACTCTTCCAACTTTTTCTGCTCACCAGCCAGTTGGAACTCAAGCGACACGACCTTACGGCGTGTGTCCTCCAGCTCCAACTTGACTGCTGGTAGATCAGCATGGGCAGTCTTCTAGTCAGCACTGTCCTTCTTTAATTTGGCCAGCTGGGCCTTGGCCTCTTCAGCCTTCAACTTGGCAGCCCCTGCCTTCCTAAGAAGGGCCCCTGCCAAGGTAGTCACTTCCATTTGGGCGGAGCATAACCCCTTCAGCAGGTCAGCCTCATTATATCCTGCCGCCGCGCGTAGAGCTGTCTTATCCACAATCCTCACCAAGCGGTCTGCCCCCGCCCTGGCTGGGCCTTCTTCTCCCTCCAACCTTCCAGCTACCGCGCGCGCATGATAGATCGTCGTAGCCGAGCGAACCTCTCCTTCCTGGGGGGCAGGCCCCTTCTGGACCTGCTCCCCTCCACTCGGCGCCGCCTCGGTCAGCCCCGCCTCTACTTGCAGTGCTGGAGCCATCTCCACAACCTCCACTGCTGGGATGACCTCCATCACCTCTGGGGCATCCTTGGCCACAGGGACCTCCACCTCAGTTGGGGCCACCTTAGCCTTCTTGGCCCCAGACTCATCTGCGGCTTTTTCTGGGGCACTCATCTTCTTCTCCTTCTTTTTCAGAGCCTCCACCACCTTTCTAGCCTGCTCTTTTACAGGGTCTACAGGGGGCGGCCGCGGCTCAAAACTGCCTAAGTCTTTTCCCCCCAATGACCTTGGGCGCGATCGGATCCTCTCCCGCGCGATCGGTTGAGGCGGTCAGTCTCCTTGCGCTTCCTTAAACTTCGTGGCCTTGGCCAGAACGGCCTGATCCTCTACCTGCTGGGCTTTTCTCCTCCCCTCCAACTCCGCTCGGTCAAGGTCCCCACCCTTCGGCTGCGGCCCCAGCCCCGCCTCAAACAATACAGATGGCTGGACAAGGTCGTCCCATTTGGCCTTCTCTCTCTCTCTCCACTCCTTCACTCCCTTCACCATTTCTTCCGCCATTGCCCCTAGTCTCGACTCCATCGATTTAGTTGGCACCTTCCAGATGGTGCGCACCCCCGCTCCCCCATTAGCAGACACGTAGAACCACCGTGGCCGCCACCCCTTGATCGACGTAGGCAGCCCCCCCACCAATCCCCTCCCTATCACCGCCTGTAGGGTGACCCAAGTTTCTTGTTGCCCCGACGCCTTGTAACACGAAAAGAACTCGTCTACCGTCATGGCCTCCCCTCCATTCGCCTTGGGCCACGCACTCGCACAGGCCAGCAGAATCTTCCACGCATTGGGCATCAATTGCCCCGGCGCTACCTCCAGGCGATTCAGCACGTCAACCACTATTTGGGGCAATGGCAACCTCAGCCCACCTTTTAGCGCCTCCTCGTACAGGGAAAACTCCCTTGGCCTAGCGGTAGACGGCCTTTTCATTGATGCTGGCACCAATAACTCCACCTCCGCCGGAATCTGGTATTGTTCCCTGATAACCTCCAAATCCGCCGCCATGAGTGTAGATCTGTCCGCCTTAGTGTGCCACTGATCTGGCTCTACCTGGCTTAGTGGCTTTGGAGCCAATATCAGGGCCGACGCCTGCGGTTCTCCCACCTGTTCCCCCACTCCCACCATCCGTGTCTCCGTCCTATATCGCGCTGCTAGCTTCTCCGCATCATCGTCCCCCAGCGGGTCCACCCTCACATTGACTACTTCTTCTTGCGCCATTTCTAGGGTTTGCTTACAAATCACTTCTGACGCAGGAGTAAGGAAGTTGAGCAAATGCTACACAGGTGTGTCGTACGCAGTGAAGGAATTAACACATGGATATTTTGAGTTTTTGTAAAAAGGTAGGTGAACCGCATCATACCAAAAACCCACGGTTTACCCGTATTTCGTGGATCCACATTAATTTTCGCCCGTTTCAAAACCTTTCAAATCAACCGCCAAAACCGCCTCTTCAAAATCCCCCCCTCGTGACCTATCGTTTCATTTCTGCTCCAACGCTTCACTTCCCCCACGATATTACCACGTGTATGGCCACGATGCACTGACCCCGTTCCCCTACTCCTGTCCTTTCCATCTCAAATCATCACATGGCCCCACCCTACCCCCTCTCTTTTTGAGCCCCGCGCCGTCCTAGTCAGCACGCCTCTCGGTCGACTTCAGATATTGTAAAATTTGGGGCATGACAAACCGGATGCACTGGATGGGCTTTAGCCAAGCCAAACGCCTTAACCTACCTTTCTAAGGCCAATTTCGGCCTCTATGGACCCCAGGATTCAATTCCTTTCAAACCCAAATTCCCTCCCCTTTTGGTCCCGATGAAGGGTCTCTCTTCCATGCGACATTATGTGAAAAGCGTTGAGTTTTCAAACTTTGTCAATTTAAGTTCATATAATTTTCAAAGAATTTTTTAACGATATAAAAGTTTCTTGAATCTGATTAAAAATGAAGATTTGATAGTCATTTTAAGATAATTCGTCGATTTTCGACAAGTGATGGCAAAATAATCTTTTTTTTCAAAATTTACTAGTAAAGGACTCTCATTAACTTCTATCTGTACAACTATTAGTAAAGGACTCTCATTAACTTCTATCTGTACAACTATTAGTAAAGGACTCTCATTAACTTCTATCTGTACAACTATTAGTAAAGGACTCTCATTAACTTCTATCTGTACAACTATTAGTAAAGGACTCTCATTAACTTCTATCTGTACAACTATTAGTAAAGGACTCTCATTAACTTCTATCTGTACAACTATTCATTGTAGAAGTAAAATAGTAGTAAAATTTGTCTATTTGTTGCATAAGAAACTCTTACAAAGAGTTGCGAAGAAGGTGAGGTAATGGGTGGGCAGTGGGAATCAGCTTCAACTCAACATTCATCAGGTGGAAGGAAGGAATTGGCAAAAAGAGCAAAAGTAATAAATCGAGATGGAAGCTGCAAAAATAACATTGAGGATTTTATAACAAAGCTTGTATGCAGCAGCTCAATTTAGATAAATAATTTGCTTAAAAAAATATTTTAGTCAAAAATAATAATTAGATAAATAAAGAAAAAAGTCATTGTCTCAAAAAAGAAAAAAAAAAAGCAAAAAAAAAAAAGATCAACAATGTTCATTCTCATGTTTAGGTTACTAAGATTGTATTTAGTCGGAAGATATGATGAGAGAAATAACAAGGTAAAAAGAAATGCAATCTTACTTTTTATTTGATTATAATGGAAAACACATGAAAAAAAAAAAGTGAGAGAAATGCAATCCCAATTTTTTTCTTTCCGAAATCACTCTTTTTTCTTTCATTTTTCAACTCAACCAAACATAACTTGAAATTCGAATCCTATCAATTCTTTTTCCCTTTTTTTTTTTTTTTTTGAATTTTCCTTTCTCTTACTATTTCTCTCATCAAATCCTCCAATCAAACATAGCCTAAAAAAATACATTGCAAATAACATCAATAACCATTGTAAGAGCATCTACATCAAACTCTTCAAAATCACTTTTTAGCTAAAATTTTTAAAAAATCAACTCCATCAAACTCGCTTAGAGCATCTTTATCAAAGTAGCTAAATGTTTAGTCAAATTGTAGCTAAAAACCTACTTTTCTATTTTAGCTAACCTTATTTTTCTTTTCATGCTCCAACAAACTCTCCATTTCTTTCTCCATTCAATTTAAATATTCCTTATTTATTTTTTCAAAAAAATTATATTTTTCAAATGGACACTTAACGGTCATATTTTTTAAATTGAAACTTTTGTAATAACAGTCATATTTTCAAATAGGTACTTTTGCAACGGCTATATTTTTTAAATAGAAACTTCTATAACGGTCATATTTTCAAATGAATATTTTTGCAACGGTTATATTTTTGAAATAGATACTTTTCTAACGGTCATATTTTTTCAATATAAATAAGATCATTCCTCTTTAATTTTCATCCACCTCAACCAGTTTTCTGTAACATTAAGTGTTTATTTTTTCACTATGCGTCGCAATTCTGTACACAATATGATTCTTAATGAGTCGGACTCTGATGATGAGTTAGAGATAGTTACAGTACTCAAAATGGAGGAAGAATCAAGATCACGTCGTCGTTCTATACAACGTCGTCTATTCATTAGGCGTAATACTTTAGAAGGCCACCAAAGGCTTTTTCTCGACTATTTTGCTGAATCACCAATATATCCTCCCAATGTATTTCGAAGAAGGTTTCGAATGAATCGTTCTCTTTTTCTTCGTATTCATTCTACACTAAAAGCTCATGAACCATATTTTGTTAAAAAAAGAAATGGTGCTCGAGTCCTTGGTTTGTCCTCCTATCAAAAGATGACTACTGCACTTAGAATGCTCGCTTATGGAGTAGCGGCTGATTTTATGGATTAATATATAAGGATTGGAGAAAGCACTGCAATGAAAAGTTTAAAAAAATTTGTTAAAGCAGTGGTTACAATTTTTTCTGATGAGTATTTGAGATCACCAAACAAAAATGACATTGCTAGATTGCTAACAATTGGCCAAAGTCGTGGATTCCCTGGGATGTTGGGGAGCATTGATTGTATGCATTGGAAATGGAAGAATTGTCCAACTGCATGGAAAGGTATGTATTCTGGTCATATTCATGAACCTACAATTATTTTAGAAGCAGTAGCATCATATGATCTTTGGATATGGCATGCATTCTTTGGGTTACCGGGGTCTCATAATGACATCAACGTGTTAGAACGATCTTCTGTATTTACCAAGCTTGCTGAAGGGCGTACTCCTTCTGTCAATTACTCAATCAATGGTAATGATTATACAATGGGATACTATCTAGCAGATGGTATATATCCACAGTGGTCAACATTTGTCAAAACAATTCCATCTCCACAAGGAAATAAGAGAAAGCATTTTGCTGCAGCTCAAGAGTCGGCAAGGAAAGATGTAGAACGTGCTTTTGGAGTTCTTCAAGCACGATTTGCAATTGTACGTGGACCTGCACGTTCTTGGGAACGTGAAACACTTAAGAATATTATGAAGGCATGCATAATACTGCATAACATGATTGTTGAGGATGAGCGAGATGTTAATGAAGCAGAAGACTACGACTATGAACAAATCGATGAAAATCCCCATGTATCTGTTTCACATGACCATACAACTGAACTTATGGAATTCATTCGACGCCATCATCACATTAGAGATAGAGAAACTCATTGTCAACTACAATCGGACCTCGTCGAGCACTTGTGGCAACTACATAGTCAATCATAGCAACTTGTAATTTTAAATTTCGTGGTCACATGATGAAAACTCATTAGTCTTGATTGTAATTTGAAATTTTTCAAGCATTAATAATTACATAATTTTTTTGTCAGTATTCTTTAGAATTTTTACAAAAGGAGACTATAAACTTCAATGGCAAATTTAAGATCTGATGCATGAAGGATTACATAAAAATACAATGGGTGTAAATTTAATATAATGCATAAGATGAGTCCTCTACAAAATTAATTAATAGCTAAAAACTCTCGAAGCAGCTACAAATGGTAAAAACAATCAATCAGCCAATGGTAGCTACAAATGGTAAAAACAATCAATCAGCCAATGGTCCCTACAGGCTTGACTCATCATCATAGTCATCATTCAGTTGTTAGCAACAACGCCATCTGCTAAATCTAATAAACACAAAGTGCTCATACTGATACGTCATTCCATTAGAACGAATTTATGTATCATAAAAATAAATACTAACAAATAAGTAACTCAAAAAGTTATACAATATTACAAACTTCCATGAAGCATCAGAAAATGTTTTGGAGGAGCAGTCGTTGCAAAGCTTGGAAGCCAAATGTAATGCAGGACTTCAATTCTTCTGCTTTTTTAAGCATTTCAGTCATTAAAGATATCAATTAGTTGATCAATTACTCAAAATCTCCAAACAATATAATAGTGTTCTATAAGTTTCTGATATTTGCTAAAAGAAAAAAGAAAAAGAAAAAGAAATTATATATGAAAACCAAAGAACTGTCAACCAATGACCTCCCATCACATGGCTCCATGTAAAAATTAAATACAGCCACCCAACTGCCAAAAAACAAAATAGACAGATAAATTTGTCAATCAATAATTTTTTTACGCAATAAATTCAGTAGAAAAAAAACATTAACCAAGAATTGAAGCATCCAACCACACCCAAAGTATGCTGCCAGCAGCTGCAGCTGATGTATGCTCCCAGCTGCAGGTAACACCCTCACACCAGCAGCTGCAGCTGATGTATGCTCCCAGTTGCTGTTGTGACCATGCTGCTGTTGTGACCATGCTCCCAACCAACAGAACAGAGTGCAACAGCAGAACAACCAGAATGCCACAGAACAACAGCCATAGCCTACCAAATAATCTACATGCTGCCATCTCAAAACACCTCAACCAACAACCAATAGCAGCCACCAACAACAAGAGTGCCACAGCAATGAGCAGAACAGCAGCCATAGCAAAATATAAAGTAAAACAGCCACAAATGTACTCTAGGGAGTTGAGGCTTCCAAACAGAGATGGGTTTCTATTGACAACAATATACATTCCAAAGGCAAGGAAAGAAGATTTTAAAATCAAACCATCAATTCTCCTTCTCCTTATAGTTCACTCATTATATCCTAAACTTGATGACAGCAGTTAAGATTGTCGTCAATTCTATGTTTTTTTTTTAACAGATTGTCAATTCTATGTTATTAACTGTGATAGACAAATAAATGTAAGAAGCAGAAAGCACTTTCAGTTTATCATATCCAAACAAAAGTCAAATGACAATTTTCTTGCAAGTCAAACATAAAGATGTCAAATACATCATGGTTAGTTAATAAAGATCTCATCAAGCTAACCAAAGAAACTATGATGGATGTATTAAACAGTCTTTTCTATAATTTCTGTTGCAAAAAGAGGAACACCTGATAGGATTGCATTTGATTACAAATCATGGACAAATAGTCCCCGACTACCAAGAACAGCAGCCAACTCACCAACTCAACAAAATCTGTCTTCTTAAATTTTTTTACGCAATAAATTCAGTAGAAAAAAAACATTAACCAAGAATTGAAGCATCCAACCACACCCAAAGTATGCTGCCAGCAGCTGCAGCTGATGTATGCTCCCAGCTGCAGGTAACACCCTCACACCAGCAGCTGCAGCTGATGTATGCTCCCAGCTGCTGTTGTGACCATGCTGCTGTTGTGACCATGCTCCCAACCAACAAAATCTGTCTTCTTAATGCATAACAAATAGACAGTAGAGGAAGATGAAATATTAGATGAAGATGAAACAGAATCTGTCCAGCAGAATCTGTTATTCACCTTGTTCAACAAAATCTGTCCAGCATTGATCTGTTATAAACATTGTTCAACAGAATCTGTCCAGCAGCAGAACAAATAGACAGTAGAGGAAGATCAAACATAATCTGAAGCAGAGAAAGATACTACAACCAATGAACAAATAATCACCAAAAATAAACCTAGGTACACAAAGATACTTATATAATCCAGAATATAGATGCCCCTAAGCAGTCATTTATTCATTTTCATAGCAATGTAAATCAATACTTAACAAAATAAGTGCACTGAACCATGGCATTGTTCAACAAAAACGTGATATGTTTACATAGAAAAATATATTCCAATAAAAACTAACTATTTAGTATTCCTTTGACTTTCAAGAATTTCCATTTGGCGGTGAAGATAATATTGTTGTTGCATTGGAGACAAACCAATAGTATCCATCATTATAATTCTCTCCTCTTCTTTCAATTGTTCTGCTCGAATCTTTTCTTGTTTAATACGAAATCGCTCTTGGATTTCCTCTTTCATAATTCGAATTCTCTCTTGCTCAAGCTCTTGGTTAATACGATTCTGCTCTTGCTCTTGAAGACACGCTTTCTCAAGGATTTCCATTTTCTTGTCATTTGCTTTCTTTTTGTCTTCCATTATCCCATTCAATATCCCTGCATAATTTGAACCAGCTGAATCTTTACTCTTTCGTTTAGTCAACCTCTCTTTTTAAGCCTTCCTGCCTAGTGGCATCTCCAAGTCTACATAAGCATCATGTGAGACATCATCCTCTGCTAGATTTATCGCCTCTGGAGCAAAAGGAGAAGATGTTGCTGATGTTTTTTTTTTTTCGATTTTTTCTTCTCACATTCCTCTAACCATTTTGGTTGGTACCTCAACACATTCCAACAATGTTCAAAAGGAAATGATGCTTTTTGGAATTCTTGATACATAAGTTTGGCCTTGCCAATCTGAAAAATTAAATGAATAAAGACTAATTAGCATCTTCAAACCAAATGACAATTACATCTAATTTAACGGTGTGTACACAATGTATACCTTGTCTTGCTCATTTACTCCACTTTGATGCATTGATTCAATTTGAGCAAAGAACCCACAACTTATTGGTTCCAAGTTGAATAGTTGACCACCGATTCATTAAAGAATTCTGATTACGTTCAGAAGTAAAAGTCTTATACTTGTGGAAATACTCCCAAACTCTATTCCAATATGTCTTGTGCTTCTGCTCATTTCCGTGTATTGCATCCAAACTTGTATTGAGCCATGCCGATACAAGGAGATTGTCTTCTTCTGTACTAAAGTTGCCACCACGTTGTGATTTCTTTGTGGTGGATTCTATTTGGGGTGACAATGGAGACTCTTGCCCAGCCACTTCACCATGTTGGCTTGAACATTGACCCATTTGATTTGGAGATTTCATCATAAATTCACCTAAAAGGTTGGATCCCCCTTGTAATAGATTGGTGAAGTACGCATCCGTTGGTGTCTGAGAATCCATCCTATGAAATGATCATTCCATTGCAATGGTGAATGATGATTCATTTTACAATGTACATTGGAAGAAGTGAAAAAAGCTAATCCGCGATCCTAAGTCTCATGAGGGAAGGGAAAAAATTTCAACATCATCATCAAGCAAATTAACACTTTGAATTGAAAGATTATTTAATCATTCAAAGCTGATAGTTGTGTCAGAGACTGTTGAATTCTGTACGAGTCTGTGTGTGTGAGAGAGAGCTTGAAATGTATTTTGTGTAGATTAGTGCTCCTACTCTAGTGCAGATTAGTCACAAATGTTTTCCATTTCTGATTTTCATAAATTTGAGAGTGCTGCAAAATCCCAAGCCACTCCTACATTCTTCACCCCATTCTATTCTGTACTCTTTCCGAAAATTTTGAGTCGAAAAGAATTTTGGAAGTCGAACTTACCAGCACTGTTTTGCCTTTTTCATATCAATGCAAGAATATTATAGATTACATGATTGCATAGACATATTTAAGCGAACTGAATATAAGTATGTATGTAGGCACTTTCAAGGCTCTGTGATTACAAGGAATTGTACAAAGTTGAAGCATTCAAGAAACTTAGTTGTGATAATTTCTTCTAAAAATGTATTGAGAAATGTAAGCAAGATATAAAGCATGCACCTCCTGAATCTGTCTTTCCATACATGTTTTGTACCAACAATATAGTTGGAGCATCTTTAAGGTCTGTCACAAATGTTTTTCAAGTTTTGGATATGGATTTTATGTGAATGCCTTCTTCGAAGGGGTTAATTTTAAAGATGTTTGATTCACTGTGTGGTTAAGGTGTTTTATATAGAAGAGGATGCTTCATTGCAAGTTTTGAGGGAATAGTGGTTGTTTAGGCAAACTATATTATTGTGATAGTGATTACAAATGCACTGAGATATACTTATTGGTCAAGTATATAAGCCTTATATATATATACATATATATTTCCTTCAATGCATGCATATGATCTAATGAGGAATGTAGTATTCTGTTTTAGATTTGATGGAGGTATAGGGATTGCATTATGGCAGTGTAGAGAGTTTATTTGTGTTCTACCCTATTCATAGCTTTTGTTCCAAGGATATGTTCTTGATTTGTTTCTTTATCATTTTGATTATTGCAGGGATGTATGTCAGTTCCCCTAAGAAAGGACTAAAGGAATGAGTCATTTTCAGAAGGAACAGAGCCCTTCTTTTGTTGAAGAATTTGACATAAATTTTGTGCTAAATCACAAAGAAAATGCTGAAGATTATATGTATGAAAACTTAGCAAAAGGTAATGAACTTGACGTAGATAATGAGCAAGGGCAAGATTGTTCCCCCTCACTGCCTTCTGATTCCAGATATACTGATATTTCTGCATCTCCTTGTGAAAAATTACTTTCACCTGCGCAGACAACTTATAATGATGGAACTAATCTAAAAAGAGTTTAGTTACACAGGAGCAGTGATGGAACCAAGAGTGAGAGTTTAGTTACACAGGAGCAGTGATGGAACCAAGAGTGGAACCAAGAGTGAGACAGGACCTTTGAGCAGTAATTTTTCACAGCAAATATCACCGGAAAGGTCTCCTTGTGATATTTCTGCATCTCCTTGATTATTAGTTACACAGGAGCAGTGATGGAACCAAGAGTGAGAACATTTGCTATTCAAGAAACTCCCCAACTGAAAGGAATCCTGAACTACCTGAATCACCGGCAACAGCAAGACAAAAAACAGTTTCACCGGAAAGGTCTGACAAAAAACAGTTTCGACATAAATTTTGTGCTAAATCACAAAGAAAACGCTGAAGATTATATGTATGAAAACTTAGCAAAAGGTAATGAACTTGACGTAGATAATGAACAAGGGCAAGATTGTTCCCCCTCATTGCCTTCTGATTCCAGATATACTGATATTTCTGCATCTCCTTGTGAAAAGTTACATTCACCTGCGCAGACAACTTATAATGATGATGTTTTTATGAGCACAACGACAATCATCTATGATCAAGAGAGTTTGCAGTCTCCATCTAATGATAACCATTACCAACTAGAGGCTAAGGAGTTACGTGGCACTAATCTTTGTAAGCCCTCTCAACTAGATGTAGAATGTGTACATCATGAAAATGAAACTGAAGTTTCTACATGTGCATGGGAATCTTATTCAATGGAGGATGCAAATCAAGGAGAAGACATGGAGGATAGCGTAACATCTCCTTCCCATGACAACATAGTGAAAGAAACCCTTTCAGAGACATTGCTATATGAGTCGACTAAATCTGAATCTGTGTTCAAAGAATTAGAAGAGAAAGTTTCAACTATTCATACAAAAAAGTTGTTTTCGTCTCCAAGGTCACACAGGAGCAGTGATGGAACCAAGAGTGAGAACATTTGCTATTCAAGAAACTCCCCAACTGAAAGGAATCCTGAACTACCTGAATCACTGGCAACAGCAAGACAAAAAACAGTTTCACCGGAAAGGTCTCCTTGTATGTTCCAGTCTCCTAGGGATAAAAGACAATTTGGTTCAAGGAAAGATCTTAAAGATCAGTCATATTCTTCTAGATCACAGAGAGTGAAACATTCTGCTTCACCTGAGAATTGTGGTCTGGGGAAAGAAATTTGTTCCAATGACCATTCACCACGTTGTAATAGGTAGGATTTAGGTTCTCCATTAGAGTCTCATCAAAGGTCCTGTCTTGTGGATGGTGGTTCATTGAAATGTGTATCTACGTCACCAAGAAATCAGCAAATTTATGCTTATATGAAACATGGAACTACAGAACTAGAGCGAATCAACAAATTTTTTAGAGGAACTTGCTTCTCTTCTCTTCTCTTCTCTCTTTTTTTTTTCCCCCCTGATTGTTAAAGCATAGTATTTGTTGTTGATATGCAAGGTCGGGTGATTCTCGTGGGTTCGGCTTTCTATCTTTGGAGAGGGATGAAGAAGCTGATGCAGCGATTAGAGCTCTTGAAGAGACTGAGTGGAATGGACAGATTGTTCTCGTGGAGAAATCAAAATCTCATTAAAGTTTTATCGATCCTCTAATTAACCCCTTAATTGTACTAGTTACTGATCAATGTGAACAAAACTTTCTTCAGTTGCTCAATTTTGTTCGTTGTTCTCTTAAAAGAACATAGTCCAAGTAAAACGAATTGACAAATATTACCCAAAGTCTTGAGCAGTGTAGCCTCTCCTCTCTCTGGGCTACACTTTGTTACCCATTATTTATACAAGGTTGTGGGATGCTCATAAATAAATGTGAGATCCACTTTTGTCTAGGGTACTAGGAGGATGTGGCAAGAAAACTGGGATGCTAGAATTCTTCATGCTTTTTGAGTAAAGATTAATGTATGATACTTTTTTTTTTTGGCAATATTTGTTACTTTTTGCATTCGTTTATACAAGACAGAGTGTGTGATTTTAACAAGAATGAAATTCAGATTACAATTCAAGACCATAATAAGGTGCCCAAATGCAAAAATTACACTTAAACCCTAACAGGCTATCCTCAACATAGTTAATACATGAACTAAATGCATCCAGGAAAGAAAATTTGTGTAGCTATGCAGAACCTTACTTGGTTCAACATAATTATTCTAGCAGAAGCATCAACTGAGCCCCTTTGAAACATATTTCACAAGGACAATATCCAAGCATCAAGGGACAGTAACCTTTGGATTTACCCAACAATTTAAATACAAGCGGTGGATTCCAAGAAGAACCCCTGATAATATTAGATTTCTGATTCCATTATAATAACAAAATAATATAGCTATTTCAAAACCCTATTCTTTTACCTTCTTTAAACCACAAAGATCAGAACTTTCAAATATCAACAACCCAATTTGCAGAATTGAAACATTACCCAATCAAATTCAAACCATCATATTTTGAAGCAAATAGTTAAAACAGAAACTAATCAATTATCACATTTACATATGCATATGCATACACATACACACACACATATATATATATATATCAATCAATGCAAAAAGTAATTGAGATTTTTGTATGAGAATTACCCAGAATTGGAAAGCCTGTTGACAGGTTGAAACAGGGAGTTTCAGTGATTAGTGAGCCTTGGGAGATTCAAGAGACACGAAGAAGAAAAACAACCTTTTACAGAGAGAAAGATTGACAACAGTGCTGTGTAAAATCTACCCAAATTCTTGATTATTTCAAATTTAGGAGGACGAGAGAGATTGTACCGTTGCTCAAAAGTTTCCGATTTCAGCCAATAGCCGAGCCTTTGTCGCTGGTTACTTGTAGCGAGGGATTTGGGTTTGACAAAAATTGCTGATTGCCTTGCCGAGTTTGATGGAGCAACGATTTGATGCCTTTTCAAATTTTTGGGTATAAAATAACTAACATAAATAAATAACGAGTTTGATAAAGATGCTCTAAATAAGTGTACTCTTTAACTTTTTATGAAATATGAGTTGTGTATGAGTTGAGTTTGAAGTGATATAGTAGAGAAGTGATGTTACTTAAATAAGATGATGTGACTTAAATAGGATAGTGACTTTTTGACTTTTTTAGATTATGACAAACAAGGCCTAAATATAATACATGCCTCCCTTGGGAAAGTGGATTAAAAATCACTTCTCAATTTTTAACCTATTTTGAATCATATTATTTCTCATATTTTTTACACGTTTTTAAAAAAAAAAATAAAAATCAAAAAATTAACTTTTTATCATCTTTCAAAACACCCCACAATAATACAAGAATAATACAATGACACATTATCAAAAAAATAATACCACTTTCATCAATTATCTTGATTTTTGATCACATCAGAAAGAAAGAGAGCAAAACAACATTTCAATAATTAGTTTTATTTTTTTTTCAATTTATTTAAATCATTTTAATATACATATTCTCAGGGAAGGACAAAAAAAAAAATACAATGGCAATAAATTTCTCCAAATCGAACCATAGACATGTGAAAAGTAAAGAATCTTATATTAATTTAGATTAGTCTCCATATTTTGATTAAGTAAAGAATCGTATATTAATATATATTTTAATAATCAACTCATCCATTTAAACTCGGTCCGACTCACCGTTAGGATTTCCGCCATTACCTCCCCATCTCTCCAATATAAATATTGACAATTAAATTAAAATATCAAATGGTAGAAATTAATGATTATTAGCCTTAATCTAATAAATTAAAATATCATATGGTAGAAATTAATGATTATTAGCCTTAATCTAATAAAAATTAAAATATTAATGTAGTATTAAAAAAAAGATTAATTACAAATATAAGTTTTGAAATTTACTTAAAATACACATTACTTCCTTATAATTATAAAAATTACAAATATTTCATTATTAAAATTTTTAATTTGACAAAATAAACAAAATAAAATTGAACTTCTTAATTACTATCCTATATAATAATAAAATTATCAAAATTATAAATTAAAATATAATTTTTATATCATTATAAATTATTTTTGATTTAATAATTTATTAATAAAGAAATTATTTGTAATGTAATTAGAAACTTAGCGAGGCAATAGGTAATTCCGAAGCATAAAAAATAATTTGCATTTGAAACAATTTACAGGAATGTACTTATAGTTTACCTAAAAGGGACAAACCATTTTTTTTACAAATCAGTTTTCAAAAACAATTTCAAATTAGTAGTAATAAAATTTTTCAACTTTAATAATTACAATTATAAATTTATAAATATTTAGTGAAGTTATATCTTGATTCCTCTGCAACTTCGTTGAATTTGTAGAGAGATGAGAGAGAAATGGAGACCCTAAATCGGGTAAGAGAGAGAAGCAGAGGTCCAGAAATCGATTTCAATGATGAGATTAGAAACCCTAATACCATCGTTGGAGAGAGAAGAAGAAGAAGCGAAGATACGGAGGAGGACCACCTTGATTGTCTTGTTAGAGAGAGAAGCGATGGCTTTGGAAACCCCGATCGAGATGAAGTGGATGGTGAGAGAATTGGAGAGGTGAAAAACCCTAGCGATTTGGGTAGAGAGAGAAGCGGTGAAATGGAGGAGCCTGACGTGGTTGCAGAGGGAATTGGCAATGGTAACAATGAGGTGAGAGAGAGAAAGAGCGAGGAGGTGGTAAGAGAGAGGGAAACTCCTCCTGATGATGATTGCTGCGCTATCTGCTTTGAGGGTTTCACCATTCCTTGCAAGACCAACTGTGGACACTGGTTTTGCGGTGCGTTTTTCGTATGATATAGTAAGAATGTTTTTTTAATTGCCATTGATTGATATGTGATCAAGATTGTGAAACCCTAACTCTTTGTTTGGTTGCTGTGAAAATGTGGAGAAAAGGGTAGAAAACAGAATTGTGATCCGAGAGAGCAAGAAGTTTCTGCTCAATCTGGTCTAATTTGAATTTATGACTAGTTTTTTGAGTTCTTTATTATTAGCCGTAAAAAAGAGGAGAAAAAAGATACTACAATAACTTTTCTGACTGGTGAAAGCTAGAAAAACAGAAATATACACTGACCAAAAAAAAGCAAAATTTTTAGTTCTACAATTGTTGAAGTATAAATATTTTTAACACAAAACAAGCAAACTATTTTGATTTTCTGTTTTTCCGAAACTTTCTTGAAAAAATAAAACAGTTTGGCAAAAAAACACACCAAAAAGATATTTCAAAATTTTGAATATTATTTTTGCCCAAAAAAGGGAAAATCATATGAAATGGACAAGTGGTTTTTGTTTTTTAATTTTTTCACCAAAACTAGTTTTAGATTTTGAAAATGAAACCGACACAGGGTAATTAATTTTTGTTCTGGTCTTTGTTGTTCACCCATTTTCTAACCAACCCAACCAGTGAGTGTCAATAGATATTTGATGGCCTTCAGTTGGAGGTGTTATTCAGGCTTGGTTTGTGGAGGTGGAAAAGGTTCCTGTCAGAATTTCCTGATATTTTTTTTTCCGGTCAGACTCCATTTATCTCATTGGGTTTTCTACTGTACTCTCGGTGAATCTTGATAATCTCTCTTCAGTTAGCTTCAGAAACATGACCTCAAAGTAGCCTATTTATTTTTGTGGGTAGAAATATTTCCTGACATTGTTTTCTAGCAAGACAATCAGTAGTCCTTAAAACCGTCTGTTGTCTGAAAGTGAGTTTCCCCTTCATTTGTGTTTGATCTCTAAAAGTTCACTGATAAATAATCTTCTTTGTAGTTAAGTATTGCACTTACTGAGCCTTGAACCTAGATTGGCTGGTCATAAGTTCTATTTATGGGAAGAAACTTATTTGGAGATCATGGTATTCTTCCAATTGATTAATGTGCATGACAGAATAAGTTTAGAGATTTTAATTTGTGTGAACTCTAATTGTAGAAGTTAATATGTTGGTAATCCATGTTACTCAAAAATTACCATTGAATGACATGTTGATATTGAAATCATTTGTAATTAATTACCTTGCATTGTACAGCCAGCTGCATTTTGATGTTCTGGAACTATAGTAGCGCACTTCAGCGGTGCAAGTGCCCCATTTGCTCTCGTCTCATTAGTAAGTTGATACCGGAGGCATCACTTAGCCTTCGGCGGGAAGAGGATGTTGTACAGGTCTTGAAGAAAGTTCAGGGGTACAATCGGCTTTTTGTAGGTGGTGCCCATGGCTTCATTATGGTAAGTCTACATTTTATTCTGTTTATAGAATTGGGTTATGCAACTATCTGAGCTAACTAGTTTTTAAGACTTTGTTTCTATAATTTTGTCCCAGCTAATTTTTGATTATTGTAAAAATCCATAATTGTGAATGGATCATTTGCAAACTGTCGTAGCCATCTCATGATTACCGTAAAAGTCAGGTAATGTCATTTGAAGAAAATCTTTCATTTTTATTTTTTTAAAATTTATTATGGGCAGAAAACATATACTGATCCCCTAGTAGATTTTGGCAGCGGAGCCCTTTTAATTTATGAAACTTCTCTTGATGATGACCCTGTTCATGTAACTTTTTGGTCCTCTGTTCTAAAAGATTTGGTGGCTTTCCCCTTGGATGTAGTTGAACCAAAAAAATATATATACATATATATATATATTGTCCCCTTGGATGTAGGTCTTCGTACTAATCTGTGTACATGTATCTCAATTATTTTTCGATTATTTCATATTTCCAAGAGTAAATGGCAGGCCAATTGCGGATTGAGTCATTTTTGAGGTTAAGTTGCTCGAAGGTAATGTTTGGACGCATCCAAAGAAGCTGATAAAAAAAGGTTATTCAACTGAGTTTTACAGAACTATAACACTAGAATTTTTGGTTCAGTGGTTCCTTGGGAGTTTTCTAGCCGTTTGGCAATGGAGATGGTGAATTATAAGGGTGAAGCAAAACAAAGCTATTGAATATGATTTACTAGCAAGAATCACTATTAAAATATCATAATTAAAATTTCATGTATAGCCTGACTGCATAATCATATGCCAATGCTTTGTGTTTTACTTTTGTGACATTTTTCATTGCTCAAGAGAGCTCCCCAACACAGCTGTTTTTAGCAATTATACTGTGTAGAATGGAGTAAATTTTTTATTGTCAAAAAGCTGATGTTTGCTTGTTATTTGCATGAAATCCCAAACTTTGTCACGAAAATTTGTCAAGAAGAACACGTGGCATTCTCTCATATGAAAATTTTGCTTCCTACAGAAAGTATATCAGTTGCCCCTATTCTTCAGGAGATATTTTGGAGGACTGATGGATCCTGATAGATTTAGACTTAACTATTACACAGCACGCCTCATTGCAGTAAGTCCATCCGACAGTAACTCAGCATTGCACTTAACTATATCATCTTTATTTTACTTGTAAAAAAGACTATATCTTTGTGTTATTTTAATAATTTATATTGACTAATGTCGTCTAGATGTATGGAATAGATTTTGCTAATTTTCCTTCTCCTGACCGAATGAACTCTTGGTATCTTCTTGCAGTATTTGTAATGTGTATATATATATTTTTTATCTTCCTTTTGGAAAGATACTTAAGAGAAACATGTTGAGGATTCAATGCACAGTGCAAGCTTTGTGTAAATTTCAGCACAATTTTAAAATATAAAAGAATGGAATGACAAGACTTTAAATCATTAGGTGGTTTGTGTGTGTATTTATTTGTGCCATAATGCCATCGTTTAAACTTTAGTTATGCTGCCATATATTTATTTAGTTTGATGGTTCCTTGCAACAGTGGGGAATTGCCAAGCATCACTTTCATGCACACTCTGTTATGTTGGCTGAAATATTTGGCAATCTATAATAAGTGATGCCAATGGACTCTGAATTGGTCTTGTAATTAGATGGAGGATAAGTAGCTATGCAAATGCTGTGAGTATTAATATTTAAGGGATGGTTTTTCTCCAGTCCCTATACTCCAATTGGTTAGCATTTTTTTCATGTTTCTTCAACTTTTGAGTTTTTGGGGTGTAAGTTGGGTCCTATTTGTTTTCCCTTGCTGATTTAGATATATATATATATATATTTAAACTAATTGTTTCTGATTTAGGGATTTAGGTTTTTTGTCTGTCATCTGTCTAATTTACGGATTTTTTAAGTTTGGGCTTATCTAATTTAGGCCTCACATTTGTTTTTATTTTGCTATTGTTTTTTCATAATGGTTCGGAGATTGGGTTACTAGAATTCTGGAATATTGATTAATGACTTAAATGTTGTATTAGTTTTGATCATTAGTTACTGGAAGTCTTGAACACCGTTGCACTGGAAATCAAAAGCGATCATTTTGCCTTAATGAAATACTAATTATCGAATGAACATGTTAACATGAATTGTTGGAACCGTGAATCGAACTAGAACTGAGCTGTTAATTCTAGTCTGGTTCCATAGGTATCAATGGTTCAGTCTGGTTCCCAAAATTCCAGAGCTATTAGGACCGGTTTGGTTTTTGGATTTTCTCGGAATCAAACCACTCTGAACTGTGTACATCCCTATGGGTACGGGGACATGTCCTGTAGACTTTTATATATATTGCATATTGTATATGATATTCACAGATAAAATAATATAAATTATTTAGAGATATGCTTGATACAATGATACTAAATAGGATTTAAGGAAAATACGAAATTTTTATCTCCCATTCATATTTGGTTTTCTCAGAACTGAACCAATTTAAACACCGTACACCTCTTGGGTAGGAGGACATGCCATATAAAAATATATATATATATATATTGCGTATTATATAATATTCTTAGATAAGATAATGTAAATTATTTAGAAATATACTTGAAATTAAATAAGATTTAGGAAAAATATGAAATTTTTATCTCCTATCCATGTGAGAAGCAAGAATTATCTTATTTAGGCCTCGTTTGGGAACAAGCTAATTTAGTAACTTTTTGGCTATTTGGCTAAAATATGAGCTAAAAAAAACTAGTATGTTTGGGATGACTTTTTGGCTTTTTATGAAAAGATGTGCAAAAAGTAGAGAGAAAAGAGAATCTTTGACTTTTTGGTATGGGTTGTTGGCTTTTTGGCTAATTTAGTAACTTTTTGGCTTTTTGGCTAAAAATGAGGGTTCCCAAATGAGGCCTTACTAGTAAATGGAACCTTCTTCTACTTCAAACATCATATAAAATTTGGTTTGGATGTCAGGCACATATTGCACATCCTTACCCCTTGTCATATTTGGTGGACAGGGTTTGGAGGAAATAAAAGAGTCCATGCAACACTGTTATGGTTGGTGGGGTGGGGATCAGATCACCACTCCCCGTTAGGGGCAGGGATAATTGACTAAAAAATATGCCATGTCGGGGATTGAGGTGGGGATGGAAAAAGTACATTGTCATCGGGCATTGAGGTCGGGGTAAGTGAAACCACCCCCGCCCTGCTCTGTAGCCATTCATAGGGGATTGTTTTGGAATCTCAGAATGCTTCATGGAGTGGAGGCAAATCCTGGATGCTGTGTTGGTGGTGAGTGAAAGTATAAACTCAAGAATGAGAAGTGGGGTCCCAAGAGTGGTGTGAGATGGAGTGAATGGGTTTTGGTGCCAAATGGGGGAGATGGATTAGATTTTGCTTGGATTGCAGCAGATAGGTGAGCTACAGTTGAGGAGTATTTGCACGCATAGGGATAACAGGAATTTTTTTGGGGATATTTTGTAACCAGAGAGGGTTACAAGATTGGGAGATGACAGAGATGTTGGAGCTTCTCTAAAGGTTGTATGGCATATCCAGGATTAGGCAGACTGAAGATGAGAAGGAGGCTACAGTGCGGGGAATTTCCATGGGAAGTTTTTGTAAGGCATTGATTGGTCATTGCAATTCTTCTATCCCATGGAAAGTTATTTGGGGCCCCAGGGCTCCTACAGTGATGGCCTTTTTTGTTTGGTGTTTAGCCCAAGGTAAGATCCTTACCACTGACCATTTGATCCAGAGGAAGAACGTTATTGTGAGTTGGTGTTGGATGTGCAAACAAGATGGTGAATTGCTGTTATTTGTAACATGTGGGTGTATCTTACACTTCCAACCATTACAGGTTGTTATCAACTGGAATTTCCTAAGTTGTGATGGGAAAGATAATTCAAGAACGTCAACTGGTAAAGAGCTAATGCTTTATGTTTACATGAGGAGTAAGGTGTTAAAGCTCAAAGGGGATTTTAGAAAGAGATACCAGTCACGTCTCTGGTTTGATTCCAGATGTGATATATGGAGAGGAAGGTGAAAGGGGAGAACTTCAAAAGCAGGAGTGAGTGGTTTTGGTGGAGAAAAGATAATTACCAACTGGATGACTGTAGGTTATGGGTGCTCAGATAGAGGCCCATTGGGACTTCAAATTGATATAAGGATGTACATAGATGGAGAGGTACCTAACGTGCCAGTTTGCTTTGATGTTCTACTCTACTATTTCTCACCCCATAAATTGGGTAGTGTCTTGGGCTTTTCCTTTCAATCAACTCATCTTAGATGTACCATGATTTTTTTTTCGGTTTGTCACGGGGGGGCAGTCGAAATAGTTGTGGAGAGCCAAGTGCAGAGCCCAATGGCAAAAGGTGGATATGTGCATAACTAATTGCTTAACCAATGTGGGGATTATAGATCGATGAAAATATTCAATATAGGAATAGTGATAAGTACTTTGGGTTTTGTACGAATTTCCCACCAAGTAATTAAAAAAGTTAGCGAACTTTTCGCCAATCACCACTAACAGTCTGCCACATGCATTTGCGTACTAGTAGTTGTTTTGTATACTGAGAGATATATTAAACATTAGCCTCGTTCATTTTCTTTAGGTAATTTTTGCTTATAATTTTTTATCGTCTTTTCTTCTTTACAGTTGTTGCTGACTGTTTTCTATGAGATCTGTGGCTTTGACTTCATTCCAACAGGTAATTTGCTTCAAACTTGTAAGTTACAGGAAAATGTTGCATCAGAATAAAACCATTATCAGCATACAGTGTATTGTACTATGGGTTGCAAATTTTTTTTTTTTTTATTAAAAAAAAAGAGAAGAAAAAAAGGATGCTAATATTTGGTTCTTTCAGTCCCACCATAAACATTAATTTGAAAGAAAAGTAGGATGATTGGGTGAGTTTGGATCTTGTTATTTTGAAAACTTTGTAGCAATTTGAAGTGAATTGCCGATCCAAAATTATGTGATCTTGTTGTGTTTTATGACTGACAATCTCTTTAGTGGGGCCATACCTCACGGTGGATCCTCTTGCATCATAAAATTTTGCCTCCCGTCAACTTATGGTGCTTGGATTCCAACTTAATTTCTTTCTCGAATCCTATCTAGTTAGTTCTTTGTTCTGTTTCATCTACATTGGAAACTAATAGCTGCTGTATCTACAGGGGCCCTTGGGGTCAGAAGAGTGTTTGAATATTCCGCTATTGCTCTTGTAGTCATCCTATTTTTGGTTGGTATCTGCCACAGAAGTATGCTTAGGCGTCGAGTGAGGCTCCTGGCTGCCCCACCAGAACGATGACATACCTTTAAACTGCTTGTTTTCTAGTACAGATGCACAGTGTTTATGTTTGTACCCTAGACAATGCACGGAAAAAATCTCAGGAACTTTGCCGTCACACAAGAAGGCGAGTCGTCACCCTCGCTACACACCTCTTCGATAGTTTGTAGAAATTACTTGCACATGCACGGTCAAAATCAGAGATATAGTTGCTATAAAGATTCATATGCTTATGTATGTTGTGTTTGTATATAATTGACAGTGAGTTTCTTGTGCAATGAAAGCCCTTCTTTGATACTGGTGCTGCAGCACCTTCCATCTTACCCAGATCCCATTAGCAATCTTGTTCTTTGTCCTTTCGAAGCCGCTAATGGTGAAAGTTTTGCCCCGTCTGTCCAACACCAGTGTTGAAACTTGTTTGTGTTTTCGGATCGGGTTTCACTTTCTTACCCAGAATTCTTGTGGAGATGTTAGCCGGATATGGCTGGTTGAGTAATGGTTAAGCTCATACTGGTGATTTATAAGTTAGCTAAATATGTTTAATCAATATTGGACTCATTAGTAACTTTAATCAATGACTTAAATAACTACAAACTAGATATGGAATCAAATCAAAATAATCTATCCAAGTGAAATCTGGCTGAGTTAGTGTATGAATGTGCTGAGCTTGTCTGCCAAAAGTACTTAGTAGAATAGTAGTATAGTTTAAAAGATTTGAAAATTTGGTTCACTTGGTTTATCTATATATATATATATATATATCTATATAATAATGCACAAACGTTTTTGAAAATGTGTGAAAATATATGGGAGATACATTTCTATCAATGGCTGAGATCTTTCCTGATCAACATCTAACGGTTCTGTCTCTCAAACACTCTTCTTCTGTCTCTCAAACACTCCTATCATTCCTGCCCAAGTGTATCAAACACTCCTCTTCTTCTGTCTCTCAAACGTCTGCCTCCCACCTACCTCTTCTCTCTCTCTTCTTCTTGATTTCAAATTTTAAACTTTTTATCTATCCATTTCTCTCTTAGCTTTTGCCTCTGCATTTCTCTCTAGTTTCATCAGAGCTTACTTCGATCGTTGTTCAAAATCACTTCGACCTGTAGCTCGGTTCTCTTCAATAGCTCGGTTCACTCCGGCAACCTGGTTCACTCCGATCGTCGTTCACTCCAGCAACTTGGTTGCAAAATCAGAGCTCTGATCGATCACTCCTGTAAGCTTATTATAATATGAGTTTGGTGTGATTTTAGTTTTATGATTTCAGTTTGATGTCTTTGTTGGGGTGGGGTTTTTTTAGGTTGGTCTACTCTGGGTTTGATTTTAGTTTGACCCTCATTCTAATCTGGGTTTGATATATTGGAATATCTGGGTTTGATGTGTTGGTCTAATTTCAGTTAGAATATCTGGGTTTATACCTATCTATTGGTCTAATCTGGGTTTGAATCATGTTGGTCTAATATATTGGAATCATGTTGTTGTGTAGTTTATACATATCTATTGATCTAACACTCTGACTGACTTGGTTCTCTTTTTCATTCATGTATCTGCTATGGAGTTTGTATTCATTTGTATTCATAAGTTTAAGTTTGTGTTTGTGCTTGTGATATGGGTTTCTATATTCATCTGATATGTGATATGAATTTGTATTCATTTCTATAAGTATTGGTCTATTGGTCTAACTGATATGTTTTGGATATATATAGATAGATTGTATAACAGAACCTAGATTGTCCTTAAGCAAATGGCCAAGGATGAAAGTGATGGGCATGGTTAAGTTAGATTGTACTCAAACTTCGCAGCTTGATCATTCACTATTCTAGCAATCTCCATACTAACTGTATGTATTTTTTTTGAATTGTTCTAATACGATTAATATTTTTGAGACTTCACTTATTAGGAAAATAATTTTGAGTACTTTAATTTATTATTAATAAACTAATTGGCTCAATAATCATGGCCATAAGAACTCTTTTCATACTTACGCTGTAATTCCCATGGATAGTGAAATAATAATAAAAAATCAAGAAAAAATTGGTTGGGATAGAAATTCCTTTAATGTTTTTCTATCATATTCCCTAAGAAAAGAATTACCATCTTTGTACACAACAAATGTGGCCCAGTCCGGTGGGAAATTTAATAGGATGCCAATTCCCAACCTTGATTCCCACAAGCAAATGTACACTAGGGGTGTGATTGATTGAACGGATCGGATAAAAGGGGATTAGAATTCATCGGACTTGAGTTTTGGAACTGTGAATCCCCCGGACTATTTGGTTGGATTGGATATGTATCCTGTGTTTGTTTTTTCATGGGATTAGATGTCTGGAAATGACTATTTTAGTGAATCCAACGTTTGGTTGGACGGACTGGATAGGATAAATGAATAAAAGACTATTTTACCATTTTTTAATTGTTTACTAAGTAATAGCAATATTAAACATATCTTTAATATTTCAATTATTTTTAGTTAGATTAAATAAAAATTTATTTTATTTTATTTTTTTACACAATTATATAAATTTATTTTTTTAAAAATAAATAAATAAATAAATAAAATATGAATAAAAATTTATATTATTTTTTAATTAAAATTTTAAATAAATTTGTTTTTAAAAATAATAATAATTAAACAATGAAATTAAATAAAACATCTATTAACATTTAAATAAAATATAAACAAAATTTTAAAATAAAATATCTGTAAAAAATTATTTAAAAATAAATAAATAAAACATCAATAAAAAGTTAAATAAAATTATTTTATTTTTAAATTGAGACATTTAAATTTTATTAAATTTTACTAAATATAATACATAATTAAATAGTATAGGGTCAAAATAGTCATTTCACCACCTAATATCAACAGTAAATAATCCCCCCAAAATTGTCCCACACCCCCCTAGGATAGTATAATCCCCCATATGGGGGATAAGGAATCCGGCCGGACTCCATGCCCGGCAGACTAAAAAAAAAATAAATATCGAATTGGATTTACTGTGCGAATTACAATCCGCACAGTAAATAATCCCCCCCTTATCCTCCCAATCACAGTAAATAATCCCCCCAAAATTGTCCCACACCCCCCTAGGATAGTATAATCCCCCATATGGGGGATAAGGAATCCGGCCGGACTCCATGCCCGGCAGACTAAAAAATAAATAAATATCGAATTGGATTTACTGTGCGAATTACAATCCGCACAGTAAATAATCCCCCCTTATCCTCCCAATCAAACACACATCATCACCTATATTGGGGCCCATGAAGAAATTGGCTGCCATCTCACAAACAGTGATGCTGGATTAGATGTATATCATGCAAAGAGTAGCTCTAGTACCGCTGGAGCTATTTGGTTGATTTCCTAGCGAATCTAAGCAGCTCAATAGACAATTGAATACAGATCGGAGAGAAATTAAAAAAACAGAATTAACTCCAAAGAAAAAACTTCCATTCAAGAGGAACTAAAATATTGAGTAGTCTGACATATTACCATGATTTAGAGGCATTAATGACATAATATACAGAAGAATGAGATAAAATATGAGATGAAACGTTCACAGACATGCAGCTGAGATCAAAAATATCATCCTACTGAATTCCCATAAATGAAAGAGGCAAAGCAAATACTAAATTGAGTAGTTGTTGGCTTATTTTTCCTACGAAGGAAAATATCATAAATGCGAGCGTGCCAGCAAGGATTGAAAAATCCTTACAGATTAAATTCAAGCCAATTATCAAGCGATTGTGTTGACGGTTCTTTTGCCTCAACGAAGAGGACTTCAAGATTGCCAAAGTGTTTTTCCTACGAAGGAAAATATCATAAATGCGAGCGTGCCAGCAAGGATTGAAAAATCCTTACAGATTAAATTCAAGCCAATTATCAAGCGATTGTGTTGACGGTTCTTTTGCCTCAACGAAGAGGTTAGGAAAATGACAAGAAATATTGAAATCAATTGTCTTTGATTTAAGTTCTGGGTCTTTTACAATGTAGCCATTAATGGCTATTTATAGAAGAAAAAATACAGCAATAACTATTTAGTAACTACCCATTTCTTCCATCTTCATTCTTGTCTTGCCATGTGTCCTTCCACTCATCCACTTTGTCCTCCTACTCATCCACTTTGTCCTTCATATTCTCCATTATCTCTATAACTTCTTTTAACTTTCAAATGAATAAGAGGATGCCACGTGTCTTGCAATTATATAAATAATAAATAATAATAAAAATTGCAGATTTATGGTGCTAACATTACCCCCCGCGACCCTTAAAAATGATATTTCTTTGAATTTTTGAAGGGCCGAACCAAGCACATGACTAACCTAAGCAGCAAAGTGCTTCGAATGATGTAACAACACCAATAAAGTGCTTCGAATGAGTATGAAATTATGACAAGATGACTCGAATTATTACTAGTAACAAGCTTCGAAAGTGATATAAAGGACCAAAATCATTCTTCGAAGGTCGATGGAACCGACCAAAGACGAATTACATCATCAAAAATACTCGACGAAGCTTCGAAAGTTCACAACAACCATTATTATTTCTTCGTAGCTGTTGTTGATACAAGATAGAGTGTTTCGAAGCTTACAAAATTATGGCAAAACGGCTTTCGAAGCAACTTATGGCAAAACGGCTTTCGAAGCTGTTTTTGGCCAACCATTGTGGTTTATTCAAAACTTATATGTTCTGGTTCACACATAATTAATGGAAATATTAATTTTGTGTTTCGAACCAATTATTAATTCTTCGAAGACACCAAAACTGTTGTTCTTCGAGCCAACTTATGATGCCAAAAACAGGCATTATTCGACAACTAATTAATTGTCATTTTACATATATTTGAAGAGATGTACACATTTCGAAAGTTTTCAAAGTTTTACACAGTTTCGAAGGTGAAGTAATCAACTTTCGAAACAACTCTTGATGTTTCGAATGTATCTTCAAAGCTTTATGCAGTTTCGAATGTGAAGTAATCAACCTTCGAAACAACTCTTGATGCTTCGAATGTATTTTCGATGCTTTGATTGTGTACATACAAACAATTGGCCATCAATTTGAAAAGATAAGCCATTCTCACCCATTTATTTAAATGCACAGGCTTTTTCTAGCCAAGTTCATGCATTTTAAATGGTCATCCCTTGTTCTTAGTGCTTCGAACTCATAAGAACAATTTGTTAATTTTATTAGCCACATCATCATAATTATATTTTGATGTGAACCACAAATCCAAAAAGGATTTTGAACACCAAAAGTCATGGTATAGTATGACCATGAAAATTTATACTTTTTGACATTTTGAAAAATGTCAAAATTTTTGAAT